TCTCTCTCTCTCTCTCTCCCTCCCTCCCTCCCTCCCTCCCTCCCTCCTTCCCTTCCTCCCTCCCTCTGTTTTGTGTTTGTTGTTTCAACATACAATCTCTCAGCTACTGCTCTAGCACCATGCCTATTTGCCTGCCGCCATACTCCCTTCCATGATGGTCATATACTCACCCTTTGATACTGTAAGCAAGCCCCACTTTGAATGTTTTGTAAGTTGTCTTGGCCATGGTGTTTCTTCACAGAAATAGGAAAGTAATCGAGACAGGTTGGATCTGGTCTGAGTCTGCTGCCAGGGTCTGCTGTGATTAAAGGCTTGATACTCAGGGTGCTGCTATTTGGGAGGTAGTGCAGCCTTTATAAGATGAGGCCTAGTGAGAGGTCTTTAGATTTTGGGTGGCTTATTCTTCCATAATCTGCCATTTGCCATAGAGCCCTTGTCAGAACTGAGCATCCCTATTCTCTCCAAACTATGAGCTCAAGCAAACTTTTTCTCCCTGTTTGTACTCCATGTCAGGAACATTGCTGTAGTGATAAAAAGCTGAATGGTAAGTCTTATACCAAATGCTGTAGCACCCAATTCTTAGAGACTTACAATGCATGTTTGCATTTTAGAAACTCTAAAAAGTTCTATTGTAAAAAATCTGGGTCATTGATTACTTAACACAGCAAGTTTTCAACAGTGATCTATGGAGCACTTTTTTTTTTTTTTAAAAAAGAATAATTTAAACTAACCTAAAAGTAGTGTTTTGATTTTCCCATTTACAGTGCCCCAATTCCTTGTATGAGAACTATAAATTCTTCCTGACCTGGTCTTGTCTGTAAAATAAACTTTCTCAGCATTTTCTGATCATTTACATTCCTTTAGACTTACCAGATTCCTCCTTTTTCACAGATCAGGGAAGAATTAGTTAATCTGTTTGTCTTTTCTATAAAATGATCCCTTTATAGTATTATATTTATGGTGGTTGGATTTCCACTGTTCTTTGAGTCCCTTAAGAATAGAATAAATACTTCACTAATTTCTGTTTTTCTGTCATCTAAGCAAAGTGTCTAGCACACAGCAACAACTTAATTTATGTATGGGAGACCACTCCCACTTTTACCCCAGGGTACTCTTGCGGAGAAGTGAGAAATATTTAGATAGAAAGATGGAGGGGAGAGGAACAGATAGAAACACGGGCATGGATCCTTATTCACCAGCCCCTTCCATCTCTTCTAGAGGGCCTTTTAAAGGAATGCCAAGGGGCAGGGCAAAAGACCTGCCTTTGCTAGATCAAAGCATACTGCACATCCAAGTGCAGACCCTTCCAAACACCTGGTAACGACACACGTGGTCCAGCAATCCTCTAATGCAGCTCTGCTGGGTAAAGCAAGCTCAGATCTCTAGGAACCCTTTGTGGGCCTCCACATTTCTGTTAAATAACTATATGTCTACAAATAATGATAGTAGAGGAGAGATAGATTTGAGTAGACAAGACCAGAAATAAGAAGATGCAAGGCAAGCCAATGTGGTTGTTAGAGAGAATCTGGGTTGTGATAAGGTAGTAAGAATGGGTACAAAAAAAGGGCAGGGTTAAGATTTCTGACCATTTGTCTTGTGTCAGGCACTGGGCAAGCAGCCATCCATCTTGTCTTATCCTCACACGTAACTTTATTGGATAGGTCATGGTGTAAGTTACATCATCCTAGCTAAGGAGCCTCTGAAGGCTTGCTTGTGAGCCGCTCCTTCTTTAAAGTTTCATCTGCAGATGTGTCCCCCTTTGTCTAGAGTTGAGCTGATTGAGGAAGATCACAAGTTTCCCAGGCAGCCATCCACAGGCTGATGGTATGTGGTCTATAAGAACTGCGCCTCAGGTTCTGTCCTAATTACTTCTGAGGCAGTAATTCTGTCTGAGTCTTCCTCTTGGGCACCTTAATGATGAAAGAAACAAGCAGGATGCAGTGAGTAGTGGAGTAGCAAAGAAGAGAAACATCCACAGGAAAGGTAAAGGAAAGAGAGTGATAAAGCAGGCAGTTAGCAGGAGTCACTACATGGACAGTAGGAGAAGGCAGTTGTGTAGGACATATTGAAGTGGACAGAAAACAGGAATCTGAGGAAGAAGGAGCCTGTCACTGTGTTGACAGATTCATTAGGACAAATCTAGTGAATGCTTGGTTTTGAGTGGTGAGTCTGAGTCGATGGACATCAGAGCATCATCACCATTGTCCTGGCTAACTGAATGGGAACTGAGGAGGTTCTCTTTTCTTCCTGTATCTTCTTTTTCATGTACTTATCTTTATTACACCCTATAAAATAATTTATAAGATTCTGAGATAACCCTGCTCTCTTGAACCTGAGACAGCCAGCATTGTTCTGACTTTTGCAGGGGAGATAACCTGGGCTCAGAGACACTAGGTATTTTTCTCAAGCTTATAAAACTAGTAAGCAGGGAGTGGAGTCAGAGCAGAAGCTAGATTTGCCCAACTCAGAGCTGATATTAAATCTCTCTCAATATAAAGCTTCCTCCATCTGGGACGAGAAGAACAGATTCAAGGAACACTGTAGAATTAGCATACATGGTGCTTGGTGACCTAGTAACTGCTTCATTTGCATTTCATTAAACAAAAGGTCTTGGCGCTTTCTTTTTCCACTTCTCTCACATTTTTCATTTTATAAGCCTCCATTTGCACTGTAGGAAGGTGACACAGCATCACAGATCCGAGGGCTGGATGCTGTTGGCTTTATGTCTCTTTTGTTCTTTTTGAAACATTTCTGAAAACACTTGCCCTTTGCTGTCGTTCAACAGCAGAGATGAAAACATGGTTCCTTCATGATATGTGGTACTTGGGAGAGGACAAGCTTTTCAGCTTTTGAGTAGTCTAGATGTTATGGAGTGTGTGACCCCTAGGAAAAGACAATACACTCAGTCCAACTATAATGAGAAGATTTATTGATTAGCTGCTAGCAGGAGGAACAATCTATGAGCCAAATTTGATATTGCCATAAAGGAAGGGGTATGGGGAAGGATTTATAAAGTGGAAAACTGCAAGAAGACCTTCAGTATCTACTCAAGCAAGCAAAAACTGGTCTGATTGG